CAAATAGTTATGGACTCATTTACTCGGTCCAACATGCGTATGAACTACGCCCTCCTTATGAAGTTAGGCTGGGGCCTGCTAGCAAAGCGTGATGACTTATGGGCGAGAGTACTAAATGCCAAATACGCCATCACCCCCTCTGGTGGTTTGAGCTCATCTTGCTGTAAAAGGGGATCGGCTCTTATACGAGCAATAGGCAAAGTATGGCCAGCCATGGGGAAGCAGGTTCGCTGGAGTTTGGGTAATGGTCGCTCTGTTCGTTTCTGGACTGACCACTGGCTGGATACGGCCGGTCCACTTTTGCTATATGCCACTCGCAGACCGGATGACAGCAACATCGATTTGACAGTTGCCGAGTACGTTGACGAGAATGGCGACTGGCTTTGGGTAGCGTTTCATGGGTTATTGCCGTCGACGATTATTTTGCGCATAGCAGGTACCCTCCCACCACGTCACTCGGCTGGAGAGGATTACATAGTCTGGGGCCCGTCCCATAATGGCAATTTCTCTACAAAGTCAGCTTATCAGGCTCTCAGCCCACCGGAGCAAATTCAGGACAGCACGCTCTGGAAATTGGTGTGGCGCACAGCCGCACCGCCAAGAGTACGCACTTTTTTATGGCTGGTGGCCAGGAATCGGTTACTCACAAACTCAGAACGTGTTAGACGACACATCTCGAACTCCGAGTGTTGTGACCTTTGTGGAGCGGCTGAGACGACCCTACACACACTGCGTGACTGCCCCGAAACATCGAGCCTCTGGTCCCTTCTAATTCCGGCAGGCGAGCTTCCGGACTTTTTCGCCCAACCCCTCCGATCCTGGCTGATTCATAATCTTTCGTCTTGGCGGGTAGGGCATCTCGCTGATTGGAACAGCGTCTTTGCATTTACGCTGTGGCTCTCCTGGAAATGGAGGAATGATCGAATTTTTAACTCTCGTTTCAAGTCCTGTGAAACTCGAAGGCTCGAAGTCCTCTCTAACACGGCAACGTTTGCCAGATCATGCGAGGCCTTCAGAAAGATCGGAGCAGATAGATATGAAGTTCGTATGATCCGTTGGATTCCACCCGACCCGGGCTGGGTCAAAGTTAATACCGATGGAGCTTTCAACAATATGACAAAACTCAGTGGGGCGGGAGGGCTTTTGCGCGATGAGCGAGGTAAGTGGTTAGAGGGATTTATTATGAATATCGGCTTTAGCACCATCACGGGGGCAGAACTCTGGGGTCTTTTTCAAGGCCTCCAGATGGCTTGGGACCGAGGGCACCGTCAAGTTGTGGCGGAAGTCGATAGCCAATGTGTAACCAATATGCTCTCTGGACTGAGGAAACAGTTTGGAGTTCATGATCCATTAGTTCGCGCTGTTAAAGAATTGGTTCAAAGGGACTGGCAGGTGCGAATCCAACATGTACATCGTGAGGCGAATTTTGTTGCGGACCATTTGGCGGGACTAGCGGCATCAGCCCCGTTGGGGGTCCAAAGGTTTTCGGCACCCCCCCCGGGCCTAGGAACTTGGATTGATCATGACTCTGGAGGGGTGTCTTACCCTCGTAGAATTCTAGCCTAGTCTCTTATTCTTAGGCCTTAGGCCTCCTTCTTTGCACAAAAAAAAAAACACGATGGATGTGGCCCACATGCAATTAGTGGTGAAGTTGGGCTTGGGGATGTGTACAAAACTTTATTCTAGACGAATCTTTTTTACTACTTTTAAATAACATACGTACGTACAAAACATTATATATAATATAGTCTTGTTATTCATTCATATTTGTAACACCTCTAGGGTAATATATATATATATATATATATATATATATATATATATATAGGGTGTAGTTTAAATAAAAACACTTCATTGTGTAAGAACTTTGAATGAAAACAGTATACGAATCTTTAATATTTTATATATAATTTTTAATATTATATCGTGCTATATCATTTACATAAATGATATTATACGTTTGTGTAATTTTTCATAAACAATATTTTATTTAAAAATAGCACCAACACTACAAATAAATTGCTAAATTCCAACGAGAAATCTTACGATAAAATATTTCAACGAAAATTCCAACTGATATTTCAATGGTATAGCTTCTGTTTGAATGATTTCAAAGAAAATTTCAACAAAAGTATTGCGTTGGAAAGACTTTTTCATTAGAATTTTAGATGGAATTTGATTATTCCAACGACTATTTTTCCAACTGTTTTTTTACCGTAAGAATTTTCGTTGGAGTTTTTATTTCCACATCCATTGGGAAATCCACCGTTGGAATCGCCAAAATCCAACTGAAATTCCAATAGAAAACTCATTCCAACGGAATATTTTTGTTGGAGTTTCTGTTGGAATTCCATTAAAATATATTTGTATTGAAAATTTCCGTTGGAATTTCATTATTTCGTTTTAGCGCAAATACAATTAATTAAAGCATGAATAACAAGAGTTAATTGTAATTAAGCTAAACATGAAGAATATATCTTTGTGGTTATCCCTTATACACAAAGCTAAAAGAAGAATTCAAAGAGTGGCAAGGTAAATTAACTATTATGATTTTTCCAATATAAGGGCTAAAATATGAAAGGGTATATAAAAAACAAACATCTTGTCATGATATAATAACAAAAATATAATATGGTTAAGAAACTATAAATCAAAGAATACATTTTGGCATGCTTGTCCAAATTTTGATAATTCTTTAAAGCATCTTTACAAAAGTAGGCCCACAAGCAAATGGCAATTCTGTGTAAAAATGGTAGCCTTTGGGACTATTATTATATATTTGAGTAAAGCATGCATGCAGTTATGCTGTTTATGTATGGGCAAAATGTTAGGCCTTTTGCAAGTTGCAAAAATTATAATGGCTAATTTTGTTTATATTTTTGGGATTTTTTGTATCTCTTATGCTCCCTTTTTTTTCGATGATACAGTCCTGTTACGGAATCATTCTGTCGAGGTTTATAACCGTTACATCAACTATTTCCGACGATTACATAATGATCTAATGGTTACAAATCCGACGAAATGATTCCGTAACGAGACCGTAGCATTTCTTTTCTTTTTTTTTTTTTTTTTTTTTTTTTTTTTTTTTTTCTGGTACCATTAGTCACATGCGGCCTAAAACTGGGAAAAGTGCCTGTCTACATATAGAAAAAGGAGAAGGCACCATCCTTTGTCACATTCTTGGCAGTAATAATGTCTTGAATCATTTACCCCCAACGAAAAAAAAAAGAGGGGTAAAAGTAAAAATTGTGATCACCAATTACTTATGAATACAAATTGAGTAGCTTACTAGCCGAGCTAAACTCGTTCTGAACTCAGATTCGTGTATATGATACACGAGTCGTCGCGTTCGGCCTATTGAAATATTTTTTTCATCTTTTCGGGATTGATATATAAAACTAAGGTTGATCTTAATTATGTTATATTGTATTCAGATAACAATTCTTGAACTTATTTTTTTTGTTATAGTTTTTTAATATTTATATGAGGAGATACTACAATACAATTATAATATCATTCTGTCGAGGTTTATAACCGTTGGATCAACTATTACCAAATTATTTTATTACTATGCTCTGAATACAAGCGGACCACTAAGAACCGACTGCCAAATTTTCGTCAAACATGTGAACCCAAAAGTTACCCAACAAAAGATTCAGATCTTTCTGGTCTATTGACACGTGGCAACCTTAAAAAAATTTATAATAAAACATTAATATGAGAATTTCAATGAATATTTAAATAGTATATTTTTCGTTGAAAATTTTGAACTTAAAACTCAATAGATATCCGCATTTGGGCTTGCTTGTTTACGAAATAATTTATTTAGGCTTCATTGTTACGAAATAATTTACTCAAAATGAGTTATTTTGATTAACTAATAAAGTTAAATTTCATTATTTTCTTGTAGTGTATATTCACTAGAATCGTGATTAGAATTTCATTATAATATATTTCAGTTAAAGTTTTTAATTTAAATTTTATAATTTTCATATAGAGATTTAAAACTAAAATTCAGAAATAAAATTATCCAAAAATTACCAGTGCAATTTAATCTAAATATTAACAGAAAATATGCTTTCAAAACTATGAAAACGACTTTCAGCCAGCGTGTCTACAGCACTTTTAGATTCGTCAAAAGTAAATTTTCATTATTATTATTATTATTATTATTATTATTATTATTATTATTATTATTATTATTATTATTATTATTATTATTATTATTATTTTATTATTATTATTATTATTATTTTATTTATTTATTTATTTATTTTGTCTAAAGTATATTATAATTTGATATTGTATATCTGACCTGGCCTATGGCCTCCCACAAGGTAGCGTTATAAGAAGCGGCGGTGGTGATGACTTGCGGAAAACTGGTGGCGCCGGGAAAATCACCGCCAAAGGTCACGCCGGGCCCCGTATTGGAGACCCCATGAAGGGCCTCCGACCACCACTCGTACCCGTTAATCCCCAATCGCTCGACCGGGGCCGCATTATTCACGAGCAGCCTTATTTTCTCTTGGAGATTCAGTCTCCCGATTAAATCGCTGACCCGATCCCTTATGTGCAGCGACACTCGGCAAAACGGCAAGCTACTCGTGCGGCCGTTGGCCGGGTCGCACGCAAACGGCGGCCGGGACTCGCACGCGAATAGGAGAAGACCGAGGACTAGAGTGTAAATAATATGGATAAATGATGAAATGTTCTTATTGGGTGGTGAATTATTGGTTGCCATTTTAGTTAGTTTGTGTGAGAAGTGAATGAAAAATTGAGTGAAATATATATAGGGAGATTGATGGTGGGTGTGTTTCTCATGATTGAATTTCCACGTCCTTCATGTAGTGTGTGTGTGTGATTGTGTGTTGATGATTGAGTGAGTAAGTGAAACACGCATTTGTTTAGTTTGTATGTATAACAAAATTGTGGGAGATTCTACGTGGTCCCGTTATAAAACAATTCTGTCGGGTTTGTAACCGTTATATCAACTATCTATGACGGTTACATGATGATCTAACGGTTACAAATCTCGACGTAATGGTTCAATAACGAGACTGTAACATTTTCCCAAAATTGTGTTAATATTAAAGCATTTTTTAAAATTTATAGAGATGAGATGGCTTGGGTCTCTTCCAGCTTAACCAGTGGTCTCGAGTTCGAGCCTTGGGAATGCAGCAGTGTTAAAACTCTTGAGGGAGAGCTTTGCCGCCCTTGTGGTCCTACCCGGCTCGATTCCGGATTAGTCGGTTCTCCTGTGGATCCGGAAACCGGAAGGTCCCTGTACCCAAAAAAAAAAAAAATTATAGAGATGACTAAAATTTTCGGTTATTAAACAATTATGTCAACGTAACTAATATTAGGAGTAATCCCCCATTAACGTATCTTATGAATTAGGACAAGGGAGCTATCCCATAGACTGTAAGTGCAAGGCTATTAGCTGATCATCCTGTATGTTTGGCCAATTATAACTAATTATGCACATAATAATCAACCTTTGCAGGTGGATTATTAATATAACAATAATACATATGGACTATTATTAATTATTAGCTTGTAGGATTAATTAGTTTAATTATGTAATTATTTTAGGTGATTTGTTGACTAAAAGCTAACCAAATTAATTAATACACCCTAATATCAATTCAGTTGTCTTAAAATTACTTTTAATTTAATAAGCTCAAATTCTAGATATATGTATTAAATTAATATTCACTTGTGAGTTGCTCACATCGTTTATATAAAAAAAAATAAGCTTAATTTAAAAGTTTAATGGGATATTTCTCCTTCCACCAATTAGTTTTAGGATCGAATCTCACTTGGGTTTCATCTGAGTTTTCTCTGTCTTGGTGTGCATCATCTGCGTGGAACCGCACTCGTTTTTTCCACAATTTTCCGTGTAAATCATTAGTAGGTAACTCATTTGTTTTGAGGTTGTTTCGAAGATTCATATAGTTAATTAACCTGAATTAGTTCTTAGCAAGAGTGGTGCATATAAATTGCACAAAAAACAATGTGTTATTGTTTTTTTTCTCACATAATCAGTGGATAAATATATCTAGCACGTGATATATGAAGCTCCCGTGAGTAAAAAGTTTCGACTAGGTAAAAACGTGAAATTTGTCCTTTTACGACTTGTTACAGCACTTAGAGAACCGTTTAACTGAAATTGCTTTGGACTTGACTATAAGTGGCTTTTGGACTGAAATGATTAGTATAGTCCCGCTCACCTGCCCACGGTGGGTAGTGCCAACTACTTTGTTTTATATGAAATGTTAAGTCAAAAATGGCTGCAGCTGCAGCTCATTTCCTTGAAAGTTGCAAAAGAAGACAAAATGGCAGCTGGTAGCTTAAAAATTGCAGCAGCACACGGATGAAGAAAAAAAAAAAAAGGAAGCAGCTTTTGGAGAACAAATTTCAGCAGACTTTTGTTGAAAAAGCGGTGCACTTCCCCCTCTATAAATTGAGGGGGATTCTGAAGGCAATCCACACACAACAACACAAGAAGAAGAAAAAAGAGAAAGAGAAAGAGAGAGCTAATAAAATTTAGCATTTGTGAGTATTTTTGTGCTGTGAGTTGTGAGTGATTTCGAGAGTGTTTTGTAAACACGAGTGTATTTTTTTCCCAATAAAATATCTGCAGTAGTCCGGAGACGTAGGCATTATTGGCCGAACTCCGTTATCAATTTGGTGTGTCCAATTTTTCGTTTTTATTTCACTTTTATAGATCCGACTTCATGGAAATTTCAGCGTATTTTTCCCAACAACTGGTATCAGAGCCAGATTGTTAATTCTGTATTTTTTTGTGTCGGTTACTATTCCGTAAATAGTGAAAAACGGGAATAGTGTCAAATTTGTCGGCGCAACAAATTTATTTACCGACGTGTTCTGAAACACGGTAGTTCACAAAAATTACAGAAACGATCCGACAGAGAAGTCAGATCAGAGTCGAAGTGATGGCTGCAAACGAAGGAAAAATGAAAATTGAAAAGTTCGATGGTGCGGACTTTGACTTCTGGAAAATGCAGATCGAGGATTATCTGTACCAGAAGAATATGTATCAACCACTCACGGGAAAAAAGCCAGAGGACATGAAGGAGGAAGAATGGAGTCTCCTTGACAGACAAGCCCTTGGAGCCATTCGGCTGACGTTATCCCGTAATGTTGCTTTTAACATTGCAAAAGAAAAGACGACAGCAGGCCTCATGAAGGCTCTTTCCAACATGTACGAGAAACCATCAGCCTCAAACAAAGTTCATTTGATGAGGCGATTGTTCAACTTGCGTATGACCGAAGGTGCTTCGGTGGCACATCATCTCAATGAGCTCAACACCGTTACAACTCAATTGAGTTCAGTTGAGATCGAGTTCGATGATGAAGTACGGGCTTTAATACTTTTGTCTTCCCTACCAGAAAGTTGGAATGCTACGGTCACGGCTGTGAGTAGCTCATCGGGAAGCAATAAGTTGAGATTTGATGATGTCCAAAATTTGGTTCTCAGTGAAGAGATCCGGCGGAGGGAGTCGGGTGAACCATCAACCTCTTCTGTATTGCATACAGAGACGAGAGGAAGAAGTTCAACCAAAGAAAGCAGACATATCAAACCAAAGGGAAGAAGATCCAGGTCCAGAAATCATCGTAATTCCCAAAACTCGAAGTCGATCGAGTGCTGGAATTGTGGGAAGACCGGGCACTACAGAAACCAGTGCAAGAGTGCACCGAAGAATCAGGAGATCAAAGAAGAGGCAAATGTAGCCTCAGTCTCAGGAGGAGACACGCTGATATGTTCTTTGGAGAACAGAGAAGAGTCTTGGGTGTTAGACTCTGGAGCATCCTTTCATGCTACCTCACAGAAGGAACTATTCGAGAATTATGTTCTTGGAAATCTTGGTAAAGTTTACCTTGGTAATGAGCAATCATGTGAGGTTGTCGGCAAAGGTGCAGTAAAAATTAAGTTGAACGGGTCTGTTTGGGAATTGAAAAATGTCAGACATATTCCCGACCTGACGAAGAATTTAATCTCGGTGGGTCAGCTAGCCAGTGAAGGCTACACGACAATCTTCCACGGAGACGATTGGAAGATTTCAAAGGGTGCAATGACAATTGCTCGAGGCAAAAAGAGTGGTACTCTTTACAAGACCACAAGAGCATGTCATCTGATTGCAGTTGCAGCAAATGAAAGTCCCAATCTATGGCACCAAAGACTTGGGCATATGAGTGAAAAAGGGATGAAGATCATTCACTCAAAAGGAAAATTACCAGGCCTCCAGTCAATAGAAATTGACATGTGTGAAGGCTGTATACTTGGAAAGCAGAAGAGAGTCAGCTTTCAGACAAGTAGAAGAACCCCAAAGAAGGAGAAGCTTGAGCTCGTCCACTCTGGTGTTTGGGGTCCAACGACTGTCCCATCCGTTGGTGGGAAGAAATACTTCGTGACTTTTATCGATGATCATTCCAGAAAGGTATGGGTTTACTTTCTGAAACACAAGTCAGAAGTATTTGAAGCTTTCAAGATTTGGAAAGCTAAGGTGGAAAATGAGACAGGCTTGAAGATCAAGAAGCTCAGATCCGACAATGGTGGTGAATACGTAACCACCAGATTCAAGAAGTTTTGCTATGAGCACGGGATCAGAATGGAGAGAACCGTGCCTGGTACGCTCAACACAATGGTGTAGCTGAGCGTATGAATCGAACGTTGACTGAAAGAGCCAGAAGCTTGCGTGTGCAGTCAGGCCTACCAAAGCAGTTCTGGGCAGAAGCAGTCAACACAGCAACTTACTTGATCAACCGAAGTCCATCGGTACCATTGGATCACAAATTACCAGAAGAGGTATGGAGCAGAAAAGAAGTAAAACTCTCACATCTTAGAGTTTTCGGGTGTGTAGCATATGTGCACATCAGTGATCAAGGTAGAAACAAACTTGATCCAAAATCAAAGAAATGTACTTTCCTTGGTTATGGTGAAGATGAGTTTGGCTACCGCTTATGGGATGATGAAAACAAAAAGATGATCCGCAGCAGAGATGTCATCTTTAATGAAAGAGTGATGTACAAGGACCGGCATAACACAAGTGCCAGCAACTCAGAAGCGAGTGGGCCAGTTTATGCAGAGGTGGAAGATATCCCAGACATTCCTGTAATAAGGAATCCTCGGTCAGAGGAATCAAATGAAGAAAGCGGTGAGCAATCAGAACCTTCTACTCCAACTCCTGTATTGAGAAGGTCCTCTCGGCCCCATGTACCTAACAGGAGATACATGGACTACATGTTGTTGACCGATGGAGGAGAACTTGAAGACTATTTGGAGGCTTGTCAAACCCCGGATGCTAGCAAGTGGGAGCTTGCCATGAAGGACGAGATGAAGTCCTTGATCTCAAATCAGACATGGGAACTAGTCAAGTTACCCATGGGAAAGAAAGCACTTCACAACAAATGGGTGTATCGGGTGAAGGAAGACCATGATGGTTCCAGGAGATACAAAGCCCGACTGGTTGTCAAAGGATTTCAGCAGAAAGAAGGAGTTGACTATACTGAAATCTTTGCTCCAGTTGTAAAGCTCAATACTATCAGGACTGTGTTAAGTATTGTGGCTAGTGAAGAGCTCTATCTAGAGCAGTTAGACGTGAAGACTGCATTTCTTCACGGAGACCTAGACGATGAGATCTATATGCACCAGCCTGAAGGTTTTTCAGAAGGAAAGAAGGATATGGTGTGCAGATTGAAGAAGAGCTTGTACGGCCT